CCACCCTTTATGCTAGCTCTTTCACCCTTATCAAATAGTATATAAGGCCTTACATTTGTATTCTCTTCAGTTATTAGTTACATGTTTCGAAGTTCTCTTCAATAAAGATTAATAAGTAATTATTCTTGTCTTTATACAAACGAATAATGATAATTCCTGTACAACTTTGAGGATACGTGAGTGTCATATTAGTGTCCATGTAGAGGAACGTCTCTGCTAATAGACAATCATTAAGAGTATTCGTTGTCCAGAACTCGAAGTCTTGGTAAACTTCCATTTTGAAGCCTTCCCCAAGCCTACTTCGTAACATTGGCGCAGTCAGTAGGATCTTCGTCAACAAAGAAGATCCGTAAGAATCAAGGTCAGCATCAACCCCAGAAGGAAAAAGAGTGTAAGCAACATCATCATAAAAGACAACGTCCACCGTTTCCTTCAAGAGGAGTCCGGAACAACGTCGAAAAATAAGAATATTCCAGTACACAAAATTGCACCAATTAAAAGGTAGGAATTTTAATTTATCTATTTGTCGCAACCCTTTCCTGTACCCTTCAAAATTGAGCAATTAGGAAATTATTTAGAGGAACAAACAGATTTCTCCGATACGAATTCTGATTTATCCTCAAGCGACGATATGGCCACTCCACCACCCGTAGGATTAGACAATGTGGTCTTTAAATTAATGTTAGACGCCATTCCGAAATTTGACGGAGGATATAACACAGTTAAATATTCTTTATTTAAGCAAACTGTTAGAAATCTATACGAACGTTGTTCTGCGGAACAACAAGGCATTCTAGACACTTTAATTTTTAGTAAATTAGAAGGTCACGCATTAAAAGCTGTAATAAATAGGTCACTTTATAATGTAGACGATATTATATTAACATTCGATTCATTATACACAAAGGACAAGTCATTTGAGCACCTCTTATGGGAAATGTTCTCCGTGGATTGTAGTAAATGTAGATCAGTAAAAGAATTATACCAAAAAATAGCCCCTCTAAGAGATGCCGTGATTTCCACCATAATAGAAACACAAAAATTAAGAGGAGAAACACGTAAAATAGTTTCTAACATATTTGACCAATTAGCTGTTTCATGTTTCGTAAGAAAACTCCAGCCAGAAATTAGCAATCTTGCAATACAAAACANTTAAGCGGAAAATTCAAATAAATACAGGCTCCACCCCCATTTTAGGACAATTCCATAGGGTCTTCAACAAGAGCTTCTGATATTGTTGACAAAAGGGGCATGGTCTACCTCTTCAGATGGAGAATGACCTAGAAAGACCTTCTAAAGATCCAAAATTGGTAAGATGTTGATGGATGGACCATGGCCCAGATTTGGGGAGACGTGACCCATATATAGAACCTTACTTAACTACTGTGGTGGTAATCACTTGATCTAAATGTTCTAAAGTTGATAAAATGCAAATTTTAGCCTTCTCCAAGCTTCGTTTAAAAACGAAATGTAACCTTTCTTATCAAACATATTGTTATTGGAATTTTTATTATTTTTATAAGCCATTCCCAATATTATCTTAGCTGTCATCGCACCAGCCACTCCTAATGCTGCGTTCTTTTCACCAATTGTTGAATTGTTTGCCTTCAATCGTTTTAATGCTTTTTCAGCTAGTGTCCTATCAGCTTTCATAAAACAGATCAAGAGCTTTACACGCATTATCCAGTTCATTTATCCCCAATTGGTTTCTGCGTTTATCAAGTTTAGTGTTAGTACCGCAAAAGTTATAGCCCGGTATTTGTAGCTCGTGTGGTATGGAATAAAGCGTTTTATCTAAAAATCCATTACCTTATCTCATTATATATTTGTTATGATTAACGATTACTGAAATGAACTAATATAAAAAGTGGATTAGAACATCATTTTATACTAGTCGTAGAAGGTTGGTATATCTGGAAAGATGAAAGTAGTAAAGCAAAAAACTACATTCGATATTGAAAATAATGATATGTTAATAAATCAAGTTGAAAAGCATAGCAAATTATTTCCTACAACATTACGATGTCTCATTTTTGGAGCTTCAAACTGTGAAAAAACTAATGTAATGGTCAGTTTAATTGAACATCCAACTGGTTTAAAATTTGAAAATGTTTACGTTTATTCAAAGTCACTCTATCAACCTAAATATGTTTATTTAGAAAAATTACTGAAGCCGATAAATGAAATAGGTTATTATTGCTTCAGTAGTAGCGAAGATATTATGAATCCATCAGCAGCTAAAACAAATTCTATATTTATATTTTAGCATGGGACGTCATAATCACATCGACTGTTTTTATCTCTGTCAAACCTACGCAAAAATCCCCAAGCACTTGATTAGAGACAATGCAAATTCGTTAATTTTATTCAAACAAGACGAATTGAATTTAGAACACCTTTATAATGATCATGTAGGAGTAGATATGACTTTTAATGAATTCAGGAATGCTTGCTCTCTTTGCTGGCAGCATCCATTTGGTTTTTTATCAATATTTAAAGATAACAAAATAAACGATGGGCGTTATAGGAAAGGATTTGATTATTATATTCTGAAATGAAGAAAAAAGTTATCAGCAGTTCATAAGCAGTTACGAGCAGTTACAAGCAGTTCCAAAGCAGTTATCAGCAGTTCCAAAGCAGTTACGAGCAGTTCTAAAGCAGTTATGAGCAGTTCTAAACCTGTTAAAAGCAGTTACAAGCAGTTATCAGCAGTTCCAAAGCAGTTACGAGCAGTTCTAAAGCAGTTATGAGCAGTTCTAAAGCAGTTATAAGCAGTTCTAAAGCTGTTAAAGCAGTTCCAAAGCAGTTACAAGCAGTTCTAAAGCAGTTATGAGCAGTTTCAAAGCTGTTAAAAGCAGTTCCAAGCAGTTAGAAACAGTTTCCAAAGCTGTTCAAAGCAGTTCCAAGCAGTTAGAAGCAGTTTTGACTTTTTCGAAAATTGTTATAAAGCCCTTGTCTTGCTAAGATATGTACAGTTAGAGTTATGCTTTGCATGATTAGACCATGAATAGTAATAATAAAGAAAAGGTTATTAAGCGTAAGCTTATTACAAAACGTAATATTATAAAGAATAAATTAAAGTTATTTAAAGAGGGACAACATGTTCACGAAGATGTTTTCACACCGATTACAAAACATTTAAAAAATATTGAAAACAAACTAAATAATAATAATGATGATGATGATGAATCAAAGTTTGTAAATGAAAATACTACTGCAAATGATAATTACACTGATAATTCTGTAAAGGAAGAAGATATTTCAAATTTTTTTAATAAACCATCAACATCGTTTTATAATTCTACACCAATACATAAACGTTTAAGCGAATTGCGGCAGATAAAACAAAGCTCGCAAATTCAGCCATCTTCCTTAAAAGAATCCATAGTGAAAGAAATTGAAGAAGAAATAGATGAAGAGGAGAAGGAGAAGGAGGATCAACAAGAATATTTTAGAGATTTTTCAACAATTACTGAAAAATCGTATACAGATTATTTAGACCAATATGATTCTTTACCAAGAACATATGTAAACGAATTATATAACAATCCTGATGCATTCGATCAGAAAACCGGTGTAAGGCTTGATAAAGAAACTGAAAAATTTTTTATTGGTGACACACAAATGTATATAGATGGATCAGATGTAATTATAAAGAAAAGGAGATATAAAGGTACTCGAGGGCTTTATGAATTGCTGTTTAAAAAAGCCCCTACCGACTATACAAAAACAGACCTAAAAAATTATAAAGATATTCTACAGAAAACAAACGCTCATAAACGTCATTACCAGCAGAACAAACAAATCGCTGGCAGTAGATCGAAAAAATACAAGAAAATAATAGCACCTTTAATTGGTAAGGGAATGTTTTTGATGAACAATAACGTTGTGACAAACAACCTCATTGATTATACATACTGGAACGATCCCAACGAATTAGTTGATAGATTACGTTTATTGACTGCGTCACAACAGGCAGGTCATACGGGGCATCAAAACGAAATTAATTCTATAATAGAAGAATTGCGAGAAGCAAGCATTATAGAATAATAATAATAATAACCCATGAAAAAAAGCAAGTTGTAGAAGAGATACATAAACCTGTACGAATAAACTTTAAACGACGCAGAACTATACTAAAATCATTGAATGACCTTTTTCAAGCTGATCTAGTTGAAATGATACCATATGCTGAGGAAAACAATGGTTACAAGTATATTTTAGTAGTTATCAATTGTTTTTCAAAATTCGTGTGGGCTTACCCTTTGAAAACTAAATCAGCTCGAGAAGTGTCAAAGGTAATGGAATCTATTTTTAAAACTCAAACTCTAAACAACCTACAAAATAATCAAGGAACTGAATTTTTTAATAAAGGTTTTAAAAGTATGGTAGAAAAATATGGTGTAAATCATTACAACGTATACAGTGCGAAAAAAGCTTCCATTGTTGAAAGACTAAATAGAACTTTAAAAATATCATGTGGAAACGTTTCAGTTTAAACGGAAATTACAAGTGGATAAGCATATTAGCTGATGTAGTTAATCAGTACAATAATACAAAACATAGAACAATATGAATGAAGTCTCAAGATGTCACTAAGAGTCATGAGAAACTTTTATCAACTGCTTACAACCACATTAAATTAACCAGTATAAATTCCAAGTTTAAAGTAGGTGATCGTGTTAGGATTTCCAAAGTACGAGGAATATTTAATAATGGATATCAACCTAATTGGTCAACTGAAATTCTTACAGTCAAAAAAGTCAACTTAACAAATTCAGTTACGTATACACTACAAGATTACAATGGGCAGTATATACTGGGTGGATTTTAAAGTTAAATATCCTGACGTGTATTTAGTTGAAAAAATTTTAAAAAGATAAAGTTTATGTAAAATGGTTAGGTTTTAATAATAAATATAACAGCTGGATTCATGTAAATGAAGTAATGAAATAAATAATAATAATAAAAATAATACTAATAATTTATTTTCCTTTTATTTATATAAACTTCTTCTGCGAATTTAAATACAATAAATCTGGGTCATCATAAATTTCAATACATTCATTTTCAAATAGAAACTGAGACTGTTGCGACGCTTCTATATTTTTAAATTTTTTGGTGTTATCTTCCATATCTTTTACCACTTTCCTTTTTCCTACTTGCCGTCTCGCTGTTGTCACCGATGATGATGATGATGATGATGACGATGACGATGCTGAAGAGGCTTTCCCCAAGTTAGCTTGTGGATCTTCTTGTACTGAAGGTAAAGGAGGTGGTAAGATTTGAAGTTGTGTATTGCTACTACCTTGTTCGATCATCTTCTCCTCAATTTCCTTTTGTCCAAACCTAAAATCACAGAAGGCCTCCTTGAGGAGACTAAGTTCCTCCTCATTTTCTATAGGTAATCTGTAATAAGTAACAGGTAAATTGCCAAACTTTTGTTGCAGCGTTTCCATTTTCGGTGTGTAGGTCAATTTTACCAAAACCTGCTTCTCTCCTTTGTGAGTAATTTCCTTCACACCATATCTATAAAATAGGAATATTTTATATATAATATCAACTTATCCACGTTAAAAATTATAAATATCACAAAATTTCAAGTTAAAATTTACTTGTTATAAACTAAGCACTAAAATTAATAAAAAAATATTAGTTATAATAAACTTACCTAAACAAATATTTACAGACACCGTACAGTTTCTTGCTATGTAACTTATATACATCTTCAGATTGGATTAGCAGAGTACACAATACAGTTGCCGTTACAATTTTCAGGTTGTTGTAGTGTCAGTAGTGATTGTTGTCAAGTTGTAGAAGTATGATGTGCACCCTCTGAATTAATAGCTATTTATTGAAATTATTTAGACTAATCATTCGCCCCAAAATACTGATGTCAATAACACTTCCAAATAATGAGGTGAATGCCGATTAATTACTTTTGCAGGCAGCAAAATTTTTAAAACTTAGCTCAACATAAAATTTGAAGTAGCAACATCAGTGTCAGAAACGTGCAAAATTAGACACGTCAGTTAGTCTGCACAGAAAAATTGCTTCGTTGAAGTAGAAAAAATTAAACAAGTTGGCTTCAAAACGTACACAATATATTTAAATATATTGAGTNTTCATTGTGCTGACTCCAGCCTTCCACTAAGTTCTCATTTGATTACCTTTCTTTCCCCTTCCACATCCCAACCTTTCCTTTTCACAATTCCTTACCTTGATACTTCTCCATATATATAAAGGGGACGTTGTCACCTCGAAAATAGATACGTAACATCCGGTGTCACCTCATATACAACGCGGTTACCTCAGATTTTTAGGTGACAACGTTTTGCGTTATTTTGATGTTGTATGACAGAGATGGGTTTTCTATCCTTGTTTACGAAAAATCGCGTTGAGGCGACAAAGTTGCTTCTGGTATCTACAACCTTGTCCTCTTAGTTCAGTCATATATCGTTGGCGCTGTCATCGTTTTTTCGCATTTGCTTTAGCGAAACAGTAGATATGAAGTCACCTCATCATATGTTTATTCTATATTAGGGATATAATACACTCCCTGCCACCTCAAATTATTGGCAACGTAGCATTTGGTATTTGTGGGTAACGTATTATTCGTAATAATCTTGAATTGTAGTCAATGAAGTATTAACGTCTCTTGTACTGTTTGCGTGAGTTAGAATGAATTGTAGAACCAAATTAATAATAAATATGGCCAAGGTAAGTGTTATATATATATTGCTTATAAATTGTGTTATTTTAATTATATGACAAAATTATCTTTGATCTTAGATTTTAAAGAAAACAATCCTAAAATTCCTTAAAAATAATGTGTTAAATTAATGAGAAGTCGGTTAAAAACTAAAACTAAACACTTTGTCTGCATTAAATTTTTTCCTCAAAAATAGTGTTCAACCAAAATTAATAATAAAAATGAAACAATTTGCTAACGCAGTATCCATATATTTCCCAAGACATATAAATTTTAAGGGAAAAATCAGAGCAATAAAGGTAGTGTGGATGACTTATTGTAAAAAGCCGTTTCACCTCTGGGTGGAACTCTTTATCAAGACCGAAAAATATAATAGATAACCAGGTTTGGACAAGAACTTACTTAAAATATTACTTATTAGGTTTCCTAGTTCAAACAGTACAAGTGTTATTGATACCATAAAAATATTTTTTGTTAATCTTTTTGTTAAATTATTTGCCATTATGTAGGTACTTTTTATTTTTACATCGTATTGTTACTTAATGATTGTTTTTAACTATTTTTTATATTTACTATTTGAATTGTGTTGTATGATTGTTCCACAATTTCATTCATTTGTAACACACAGGATGTTTCATGTTTCTCGCCGAATTATTTATAAATTGTACTGTTTGAGCTAAAAACCTAGTAGCTATAGTATGTTAGCTTTTAAATTGTTGTCCAACATTGCTATTTGTTATTTTTTTTTGCCTTTATAAATCCTTCTACTCACAGGCGAAACGTTAGTAGTTGGTTGTATTTACAGTGAGTCATCCACCACCCTTATTGGCATTATTTTTTCTGTAATTTGCTAGCTCCCAACTTATTGAGTAATAACACTGAAGTAATAACATATTTAGATGAAAACTTCAATAAAGACAAATCTGTAATTTCTTTATTGCACAGGATGATCCACTTTATTTATCTACCGCAGTTTCGTCCATTGTTTTTAAGAATAAAAAGCTTTTCTTACGCAATCGATACGTAAACCGTAAACCATCACAGCATTTTGAATTTTATAGTTGATGTTTTATAATTAACTTAACTTAAAAAAAATATTTTTGTTATTTCCTAAAGTTCAGAGGGCTGAGTTATTGCAGTCTTCCTGTTACCCAATTTAATTTATCTGTTATAAGGATCGCTATAGCGAACCGAATGAGACTCGTTCTAATAAAGAAAACATGTTACCAAATGAAGAAAACATTGAATCTGCCACTGCACGAAAGCAAACTCATGTAAGTCCATAAAATTTTTATTGATATATCTGAAAATTTTACTGCTTTAATGAGTGAGTGTATTTTTTCTTGATATTTCGTCCGGAATGGATAGAAAACCATTTTGGTTGTACAAAGGAGTCAGTCCCATTTGCGCAAAATAATGATATTCCCGAAAACTGCGATAACAGCATCGTGTCAGAAACCACTATAGTTAGTGCGATTAATAACACATGTAATAATCTAACAAAAGCACAGAGAATATAATCAGAAATGAAGAGAATAAATTACAATCACCTGAGATTCCCATTGCTCATGAAATTGTTGCACTTGATATTCCTGTTAATAGTTTGCAAAATATAAGTGAAGTAAGCCATTACAATAAATTTTCACTTCTTCCCATTTTAAATACAGTATTGTAATTATCAAAACCAATATTGGAGAAAAAAGCGCTTTATTTATAAAGGTGTAAACTCTTTGTATAACCGTCTGCTTTTCAATTATTCTATTTTTATTAATTTCATCGAATATCAGTTTTATACCACGAAACGCAGATGTTGTTTTTTAATGAAGTTTTTTCTCTAATTTAGGCTTTAACTCTTGCAACAGTAGGAAATGTACCGGTGGTGAAGCGGTTCTATTTTTTTTTAATGGGTAATAAAGTTGAAACCTTGAAAACATGGAATTTAAATTGCTCAGAAAAAGAGTTGTTAGAGAAATCAAATCACAGACATTATTTTTTATTTAGTTTAGGTATAAGTTCATGTTTTAATTTTTGGATAAAAAAAGATTAATTATAAATTTTTTATTTGCTTTTTATATCTTGTTAAATAAATAAATGAATAATGTAGTATAAACATTATCTTCTAGAATGCTGGTAATGATAAAGGTGTTCATTTTACTAGTAGTGACCTTCTAAATAGCTCAAACGCGAATCTAATAAATAGTAGTTCTCAATTATTTGAGTCAATAGACCAGGTAGACAAAGTTTACGAATTTACTCCTGAAGAGCCAAATAAAAACGAAGTAAGTAATTCACATAAACTTTGATAATAATTTGGCAGATATCTTTTAACAAAAATTTAATGGTATTCATTGCGTTTTATTGACATTCTTTTGGTAGGATTTTAACATCGATAGTGATGGATTCGGGGCTAAACTATGTAGAGAAGTTCAAACAATAAGCGACAAATATGGAGAGATAAAGATTTACATGAATGACGAGTACGGGAATTTAATAGCTTTAGATAATGAGATAAGATCTAGCAAGGAATTAGATACAAAAACAAGTAGAATTGAAGATAGTAGAGAAGTACTCAATAATGATAGTGACAGAAGCTTTACAATAGTAGACGATGAGGATAGAGACAAAGATTTCAATATTGATGACTATACTAGTGATACTGACAATACATGCACTGACGAACACTTTGAAGGAAATACTACTTACAAAACACAAATTAACGAAAAACAAAAGATTACAGCAAATGTAGAAAAGCAACACGAGAATCAGATAATAAATAAGAACAGAAAGCAAATAAAACTAGAAAGCACAAAAAAGCAAATTCATGTAAATTTTGTAATAATGACATGATATCCAAGAATTATATGTAAGGCACATAGAAACATTTCACGGCGATGAAAATGAAGTGAGGAAAATTATATCATTACTATAGAAAAGTAAAGATCGAAGGCAGGAATTTCTTTCACTACGACACAATACAAATTTTGAATAATTTCTAACTGGAGAAGTACATCCATGTCGAAAGCCCGATATACTGGTACCTAAATCTTCGTTTTACCCATGCATATACTGCAAGGGATTATTTAAAAAGAATTATCTTAAGCGACATACAGTCTGTTGCCGAAATAAGCATTCGTTAAACAGTGATAGGTCCAAAAACTACATATCTGACTCGCACACATTAACAGCTTGCGCAATCGACACTACAAATGTTATTTCAAAATTGAACGTTAGAGAGCAGGTATCTACCTACGATTTTTAATACAAATCTATTAACAAATCGCGGACTTATCGAAATTAAAAATATCAATTGCTTTTAACAATTGCCATCTGCAAGGAATTTAAGGTAAATATGTTTTTGCCGGCTTATCGATTAAAAAAAAACCTTTAACCGAATGTTGTGAATTCTTTTTTCATATTCGTATTGTTAATACGCGAGACCACATTCACCCACACACACGCACGCACCCCGCCATTCAACCACCCACATGCACACAAATATTTCCTAAAACACTTCTTTTTTTATTTTGTTCTTATTTATGTTTACTGATTCAAAATACAAGGGTCGGTGTAACATTTTTTAAATACGAAAGGAATTGTTACCCTTTATAGGTATTCAGCAAATACGAAAGGAGACGAGGTAGCATTCGAAGCGAAAAAATATCTTCTTATTGTTCACTTTGGAGAGTCGTATTTGAAGCAACATAAACGAGAGAGAAAAGAATATGCATGCAGTAATAGGATGCGTGAGCTGTCTCGCTTTTTAAATGCTTTTCGTGAAATTGCCAATAATAAAGACATCTCTCTAAAGGAAGTGCTGATTCCAAAGAACTTTGACAATATATTATCAGCAGCAAGACGCATCTCTGGATATGACCCTGTCAATAAAGTATTTTTATCGCCAAGTCTGGCAATGCATATGGGGACGTATCTGAAAATTGTTTGCGACGAATTAAATCATCTAATTTTAAAAGAGAGTCCGGGATTTACATGCCAATCTAAGGAAATAATGCAAAACTGGCAACAGGACGTTGACAATATGAAAAAACTTTTAACGTCGAGATGGAACACTAAGATATCCTCCTTAGCAAATAAAGATATGCAAGAGAAACGGTGGAACAAGCCGTTACTATAATACCTCTAGTGAGTGATACAAAAATTTTTAGAGAAGGTGTTTTAAAAATAGCTACCGAATGCCAAAAAAAATTTTGTGATAGCGAAGATGATGTAGAGTGTTACAAATTATTAGTTAATTGTACGTTGTCTTTACTCATTTTGTTTAATAGAAGACGTATTGGCGACGTACAATTTCTTAAAATTAAAGACTACACTAACACGATATCGTCAAATTTTGATGATTTTGAAAATGCTTTAACGAAATCGGAAAAGATTTTAACTCAAAAATACAAACGAGTTCTCAATGGTGGTAAAGGGTCTAGAGCTGTCGTGATTTTGGTACCTGAATTACTACAGAGCTTTATAGCTACTTTGTTACAATTCAGAAGTAAATATATTTCCGATAAGAACGAATACATTTTTGCACTGCCCTTTAGTAAAATTAAATGGGGACAAGGAGATGTAGCTATTCGAAATCTTACTAAAAAATTTAATTTGCAAAGGCCAGATGCTATCACAAGTAACAAGTTAAGAAAACATATAGCCACGGTAACTCAAATCCTCAACTTATCAAAAGAAGACTGCAAACAATTTTCCCAATTTATGGGTCACACTGAAAAAACCCATGCTGAATTTTATGAGTAAGTTATAAAAAGCTTCAGTAGATGGCAAAAGTCTGTCTTTTCAAAATACTTCTGCTTTTGATTGCTATGGATATGTTTCGTATACTACTAATGATACACCCCGATTCAAAATTTTTAATATTTGTTGTAGATTGCCCATAGATATTTATCAAACCGCGAAGGTATCTAAATTATTATTAATGATGGAGAAAGGCAATTTACCCATCGAATACAAAGGAAAATCTCTTGATGAAATAGATATAAATTGGGAATTTCCAGAAGAAAACGACCGTAATTTTGATCTAGTCTAAATTTAAAGGTACCTTAAATAACTGTTATTTTAGATAATCCTATATCTAATAAAAACACTACGGCAGACCAATCTTCGTCTGTCATTACCGATGTAGGTAGTCGAAACCGTAGATGAAATCCATTTAATCCCTCAACATTCCCTAGCTTCGAGTAAACACAATCAAAAATCGTCAGCGATACAAGATTCACGCAATGGTAAACTACAAGCAAACGAAAAACATGAATCGCAAATAGAAGATAGCTACTGCTGGACACACACACACACAGGGACAGACGAGACAAGGGGGTGGTTTCTAGTCGAGAAACGACAGAATCGCGACAGTACCTCAGTTGGAAAGGTCTCTTATGCAAGATTTTCCCCTCCTTTCAGCAAAAAATAAAAACACACACACACACACACACACACAATTATTTTCTAAAATACTTTTGTGCAGCTTTATATATATATATATATATATTTATACTAGGTACCTTGTCACCTCTTTTTAATATACGGTAGATACCTTGTCACCTCATATATTACGCTATCACCTCCGAAAGTGGAGGTGACATCGTTTTATATATATATATATATATTTATACTAGGTACCTTGTCACCTCTATTTAATATACGGTAGATACCTTGTCACTTCATATATTACGCTATCACCTCCGAAAGTGGAGGTGACATCGTTTTTCCATGCATTTTGATTTTTAACGACGTCACTGGCCTACCGGTTGAATTTGAGGTGGAGGTCAAAAGATGCAATTCTTATATAAAAATCGCGGTTTTAGTTCAATCATATATCATTGGCGCTAGTATCGCAACGCTAGACACTGGTAATTCGTTGTCTCCTCTCATTTGCGTTAGTGTACTTGTCACCTCCATAACGGCAACAGTGTTAAACTAAAAAAAAAATGACATCAAGTAATACAATCATTTGGTAGTTTTGCCTAGAAAGTTTTCCGGGAGTTTTGAAAATTGGTAATTTTATAGATTTTGAGGTGCTCATTCCGAATTTCGACTCATTTTACGATACAAATAGTCATATACAAAATGAAACTAGAGACAATTGCCTACAATTTTTGTATCTACCTTTTTTTCAAAAAATCAATAGTTTTTGCGTACGAGCGCCGCAGAAATAGCCGACTATATCATGGAAGCAACGCAATCACAGTCCATGATAGCAACCACGGCCAATCCTCCCCCCCCAATATGATGCCATCCAACTACTGACCAACAAGGTGCAAGCTCTTCAGTTGGATCTGCATCAAATAAGACGGCATATGGCAAGAGGTTCGAGGACAAGATCTCGATCCCATTCGAGAAGCACTTCTTCGCAAAGACGATCCCACAGCAATAACAGGAGCAGCGACCTTTGCTTCTACCACAGCAGATTCCAAGACAGGGCACGGAAATGCATTCCTCCGTGCAGGAAGTCGTCGGGAAACCTTCAGGGAGCTCACTAATGGCGACAAGTGAGGTCCGCACAACGCAACGTCGCCTATTTGTAACAGACAGAGCAACAAATCAAAAATTTCTGGTCGACACCGGTGCAGATATCTGCGTGTATCCCAAGTCACTTATACCTGGGCCACGTCAGAAATCTACATTCACGCTGCAAGCAGCAAACGGCACCAACATACCGACCTATGGTACTATTATTCTGTCGCTCAACTTAGGCCTACGAAGATGTTTCCCATGGCGCTTCATTATAGCCGACGTCACCAAACCAATTATCGGTGCAGACTTCCTAGCCCACTACCAACTGCTGGTAGATTTAAGCAACCAACGACTCTTGGATCAACTGACACACCTCACCGCCTCTGGTCAAGTAATCAACTGCAGCCAACCTTCCGTCACTTTCGTTACAGGAACGAAACCGACCACTTCGCCATACCACGAGATACTTCGTGATTTTCCGTCATTAACTCGACCCAACGGCCAAATCACCTTCTCGAAACATGCAACAAGGCACTATATAAACACTACCCCCGGTCCACCAGTAGCATGCAAACCACGTCGTTTAGCCCCGGACCGTTTCTCTGCAGCAAAGAGAGAATTTGAAACGTTGGTACAACTGGGTATCGCACGTCCCTCCTCCAGCCCCTGGGCATCGCCACTGCACATGGTCCCAAAGAAAGACGATGAATGGCGCCCATGCGGAGACTACCGTGCTCTCAACGCGAGAACAATCCCGGACAGATATCCAGTACGCAACATCGACGATTTCACGCATGCACTAGCAAATAAGAAGATTTTCTCCACAATCGACTTGGTTAGAGCGTATAACCAAATTCCAGTCGCAGAGGAAGACATCCCAAAGACAGCAATTACAACACCTTTTGGATTGTTCGAGTTTCCTCATATGAATTTTGGTTTACGTAACGCCAGCCAAACATTTCAACGTTTTATTGACGAAGTGTTACACGGCCTTGACTTCTGTTTTGCTTACATCGACGACATACTGGTCGCATCAGAAAATGCTGAGCAGCACAAACAGCATTTACGCACGTTGTTTACTCGTCTACAGTCATACGGAATACTGCTTAACCAAGCAAAATGCAACTTTGGTAAACAAGAAGTTTCTTTTCTAGGTTATTCTGTCTCGGCAAATGGAATACGTCCTTTACCCGACAGAGTAACAGCAATCTCCAATTTCCCCAAGCCTACTACCGCAAAACAATTGCGACGTTTCCTGGGTATGCTCAACTTTTACAGAAAGTTCCTGCCTAACGCTGCCCGCACTCATTCTGCTCTGAATGAACTTTTACTGGGGAAAATCAAAGGAAATGCACCACTTCAATGGAATCCCACAGCCAACGAGGCATTCAATTCAAGTAAGGAGCAACTGGCGCAGACTACTCTCCTGCACCATCCGCAACCAGATGCTACCTTAGCAATTTTCTGTGACGCATCCGACCATCACTTGGGCGCTGCGTTACAACAATTCCACAATGGAACCTGGGAACCCCTTGCATTTTTCTCCTCCAAGCTATCGAACGCTGAAGTTAAATACAGCGCCTTCGACAGAGAACTTCTCGCGATTTATCGCACAATTAAGCATTTCCGCCATTTTCTCGAAGCCCGTGACTTCATTATATTTACGGATCACAAGCCCCTCACCTTTGCCTTCCGTCAGAACCCTGACAAATGCTCTCCCAGACAGTCACGGCACCTCAATTTCATTAGCCAGTTCTCTACGAACATCCAACATATTTCTGGGAAGGACAATATCATCGCAGACACACTCTCAAGAATCTCTGCGCAGGAATCCGACAGGGAACTTCAAACTTATCTCAACTCTAACCAATCCCTACAACTTAAACGGATTCACATTCCTAACACAAGCAAATCTGTATCAGTGCAAAGACTGAAACCAGCATACATCATGAAGGAAGAACAGCACTTCCAACCGATACTCACAACGAGGAAAATGGACGATCGACCAGCCCATACTACAACCCGGTCCGGTCGTCGAGTACATTTTCCTAGCTATATCCAAGCAAGCTAATCCACTTCGTTCCTCACTGGAAGGGGGGTCCTGTGGGAACACTCGGTATAGCGAAAAACATTATTGTTGTGTATCAATTAAGCGTCTACATTTGTGCTG